TAGTTTTGAACTATTTGCTGCAGTAAATATTGTGGCATTTCAGGACACTTGATGACGGAGCAAGATTCAAATTGTACATGAATGATTAAACCTACCTGGCCTAGTCAGAGCCATGGCGCAGCAGTTAGCTTATGTACTCCAGTCACTTTAAGCCTTGGTGCTCATATGGGTAATGTAGATTCGAATCCAGCCTGCAGCATATCCTGACTGAGTTTGTCAGTCTATATAATAAAATATGTATAAATCCCCCCCAAAAAAGCAAAAATACTGTTTGTTCATGTAGGAATATGACGAGTTTGTAATATGTGTGCTTCCAGAAATGCCTGCGATTGGACCTTGAGGCTCCAGTGTGGGTTTGTAAGCAGCAAGTTCTGGTCACTCTGACACAAAGCCTGACCGATGTGCTTAACTATGGCCTCTACCTCCCTGCCTTTAACGGGCGCGCCGGAAAGTTCCTCGATGAGGAGAGATTGCTCAGGGAGTATCCATTCCCTACGGTCACACCTGTACCGTACCTAGAGGTGCACATAAACATCCTTCTGTATCCCAAAATGCTTTAGAGCTCTCACTTATTATATAATTGGGCCATGTTGCGGTTATTTTCATTCACCCCTCAATACATTTGTGTGACTTCAGTTCCGTTACAAGAGGCGTGTTTACACTCAGAGCCATGTAGATGACAAGCAACTGGCCAAACTACATACCAAGGTATCATTTAACATTCATGTTCTACCGTTCGTTTGGGGTTGGTACAAATATTTTTAATTTTTAAAGAATACTTTTAGTGAGCAAGGAAATATTGAACTGATCAGAAGTGAAAGACATTTAAAATGTTAGTAAATATTTCTCAAATAAATGCTGTTCTTTTGAAACACCAAATCAGCATATTAGCATGATTTCTGAAGGATCATGACACTGAAGACTGGAGTAATGGCAGCTGAAAATTCAACTTTGCTATCACGGGAATAAATTACATTCTAAAAAATATTAAAATAGATTATATTTATTTAAAATTGTAATAATATTTCACAATATTACTATTTTACTGTATTTTTGATTAAATAAATGCAGCGTTGGTGATCATAAGACACTTTTCAAAAGCATAAAAAAAAAATCGTACAAACCCCAAACTTTTGAATGGTTTCGTTCAATTTAACAAAACACTACATGCGCAAAGTTAGCTGATCATTATATTAATGCAACATATTTTTTTTTCAGTGAATTGACCCAAAAATGTTTGCTTGACACAAATTCTAACATGAAGCTTTTATTTTTTTTTCAACATTACACCGTTACATAAAAACGGTGATGAAACACAGAACTATGAACAGACACATAATTGTTGGACAGTCTCCATTGTAAGCGTGCAATGCCTGATTTGATAACACCTATGCCATTTTAAAAGACACCGCAATGGAGACCAACTACTAAAGGCAGTAAAACGTAAGTGTGCATCGACAATAGACATTCGAAATCCAAGTAAATGAAGTGGCTTTGTGTGGAACTTCTAGTGTTGTTCAGTAATTACAACCTACTGTAAGAAGCACCAACAGTGTACAGGAACCCAAAGCCAGAGCTTACCAGCAAGCCTGAGCTATAGATATTTCATATTAGTCCACAATATAACACTGTTGCTATTAGCACGAATAGAAGTCATACATCGCAGTGCTCTTATCTGTAAAACTGAGTAAATTATGTAGAGTTAGTGTCCATGCATTTTTTTTTAATGAATGATGATGAACATTTAATTTTTGCTAGATGTTAGAAATGTTCATTTAGAGATTGTTAAAGCTGAACTTTTACATATCGACACCAAGAATAAATAAAGTGCCATATGTGTTTTGGATACAATAAATTAAGTTTATAGTGTAATAGTGATGACAATAAAAAAAAAAAGTGATGTTTACGATTAAAACTTTGTGTAAATATATAGGCCTATTATTATAAACATCTCTGGGCACTTTAAGAATTTGAAACAGATGTAAGGCGTAAAGAAACGGCTGGAGCAGTTTATGAAATCTGATTTGTTCACATATGGAGCGACTGTAGGGATGCGAGAACCTTCATCCTGTCTTTATTATGTACACCAGCGACGCACAGAGACTACTGTATATGTGAGTGAAATAACATCTGGTGATGTGGCGTCATCTTCCTTGCTTATCTTGAAATGTCTGCATAGCATCTGTATTAGATTAGAGTGAACATTACTGGCGTCTCTGGAGGGCGAGGGGTTCAGTGTCCAAGTCCAAATGTCCAAATGTTAGAAAAGGGACACTTTCTTCTTCAGGTCGTTCCGTTTCCATAGTGACAGACGATCAAATTCTGTGATGGACATTCCGAATAAGCTCTGGAATTCCTCTGGAGACAGATGCCGCTTTTTAATGAAAAAATAAAAACAATCAGTCAGTTTATATGTGCGGTCAGAGGCAAAATTCTATAGAGGACAGGGGAAAACATCCCCAACAACACTTCTGCAAATATTGCATGTATTTATATATTTATTTGTAGTAGGAATGTTTGGAAAAATGTAATGATAATAATAATAATAAACTATTTAAAAATATTAAAATGAAGTAAAATATTAGTTTTTTTAAAATATACTTGTTTATTTATTTGTTGTAGGAGTGTTTGGAAAACATAATAATAATAATAATAATAATAATAATAATGAACGATTCGAAAATATATAAAAAAAATCCAAATATTTAAATATTTAAAAATATATAAAAATGTATTAAATATTTATGCATTTTCATAAAAATAATTTACTGCATAGTTTTAATAATTGTTATTATTATATTACGTCCCAAAACACGTAATCACAAATAAATAAATAAGCAAGTAGTTTATTTTATATGTTCATTTAATATATCCAATAATTTTTAATGTTGTTATTATTATTGTTTTCCAAACACTCCTATCACGAATAAAAACAAACAAACAAATAAATTAATATTTTCCCAATTATTATTATTGTTATTATTATTATTATTATTAAATGTAATAATAATAATAATAATACTTTAATAATGATTTATTATTATTTTTGTATGAATAAAAACAATAATATAAATTATTATTTTTGCTAATTCTTTTGAGCTTATAATGGCAAAGAAATGCAAGAACATTAAAATCTTTTCTTTCTTTTTTTTGTTAAACTAAGGTTAACTAGTGTTTTTTTTGTGTGATTTACCTCTAATCTGGTCCTGTCAACACCTGGAGGAAGCTTACTGCGCCCTCTGTGGGTCACAACCAGCATTTCATATGGATATATCTGAAGAGGAGATTTCATAACATTTTGGTAACATTATATATGCGGTACTCATCCTTTTTGATTGATTGGACACAGCAAACAGGCCGTCACATATTAACAGCTTGCTCAAAGGAGGATGTTTACTACACATACAACCTCCAAAGTTTTCACTTTGATATTGTCTTCAGTGACACTGCCGTACTGAATTTTGCATTCAATGGATGCGAGGCTTAGAAGCAACATGGATGTGAGTGAATGTATGGCATGGGGTTAGAAGAGAGAACCAGAGCATGAAAACTTTGGAGGGTCTGGTAAGATCTGCCTCACCTTCTGTTCCAGAATACTAGGAAGAGAGCTTCCTCTGTCCATTCTCCCACTCTGTGAATCGCCATTCTATGAAGACGCCACCCCAGCCCAAAAAAATACCCCCCCCCGGGACAAAGGAGATCAATATGAGACAGGTACATTTAGAGAGGAGGGTCTCACTACATCCATAATAATGAATCAGCCTCATTTGACTCATTATTAAGTGTGCAAACAGTGTGTGGAGATCAAATGAGTCTGAAGCCATGAAAGAATGTAGGCTAATGTCAGGGTAAGGATACATTAGTAGCAGGAAAAGGATGTGGTTTCTATGTCAGAGCTTATTAGCTGCTGCTGGCATATTAGAAAACTCAACAGCCATGCTTGTGAAATCGAATAAACAAAGCCATTTTACCTGTACACCTGAGGAACATAGAAAGAAAAATAAAGATGATAAAAAATACAGTAACATTAGAAGTCATTAAATCAAATATTTTCTTATATTCGTGTTGATTTCAATTTAAATTATCACTCAAATTGTTATGCAGATAATTGAAATTATAGCAGAAACATTTATGTAAATAATGAGAATTTTAAAGCAGCACTATGTAACTTTTGGCGCTCTAGCGGTTAATAAACAGAACTGCACACATCCCGCGGAAGAACATTCCAACCGGAGCTACTTCTCTAAGTTTATGTCTATGGCGATTCACGCAGGTATGTGTTACTCCGCAGCGGTGACGACCCGACCAGGCTACAATAGTCCAAATATAAGTACTTATTATAAGTGTACTGTAGTGAGTCGGAATAAGACAAAAACGCGGTTTGGAAGACGAATTCATGATGTACTCGCTCATTATATACATTTAGCAAATTTTGAACACAGAAAAAGTTACATAGTGCTGCTTTAATACCCTGCTTATGTATACTAAAAATTTTGACCATACCTGTTTTTGCTTTTTCATTGTCTGTGGAGGTGAAGTCTGCAGACTGGAGCTACATGCACGAAGAGAAACAATTACACGCATTAGAGACTCAAAAGAGCTATAGGAATGTCTTAAAGGGACAGTTCACCCATAAAGCGTAGCGTAAGTGATGAACACGGAAGCGCAGAGGAGACAGCAAAACAAAACACCGGTCACGAATTAGAAGTACAAAACGAGGATTTGTAAAGAAAAATGTCTGAGGATTTCGATATAAGCCAAGAGCCTGGTTTTCCTTTTCCTACGCCTACATCATCTGCTGGAACGCCACTCTCTCGTGAACGCGTGTACGACAGTTAGCGGAAAATTGTACTTATTAACATTATGAATTAATACTCATATTTAATATTACAAGTAAAAACATAGGATAGTAATAAGTAAAGAAAGGCTCCGTGTTTATTATTACAATTAATAATGTTAATTAATATTATGAATGAATACTCATATTTAATGTTACAAATTAAAAAAAATTATATTGATCAGTAAACAGAGACATTTTAATTATTGCAATGAATAATGTTAATTAATAATATTATTAATTTTCGTTTTTAATATAATATTAATCAGTAAAGAAAAATTAAATGTAATGATTACAATTAATAATAATTAATATTACAAAAAATATTACTTATTTACATTTTAATATTACATTTTTTAATAATTAGTATTATATAATATATATAAAGACTATATTTTATGAACAAATCATGAAATATAATAATAATTATTATTAGTAGTATTTATATTTAATATGAACAATCTTAAAAAAAAAGATCAACATTGTAGGCAAATTCAGATTATGATTAAAATGTATAATATTATCCCTTCAAAGATGATTTTCTCTTACCCTTGTGAGACCTGTTTGACTGCAAGGAGGTAAAGAGGTGGATTTAGTAGCACTGGCTGATGATCCTGCAATGAATGTAGATGAAACTTAATTACAGGCAAAATAGACATTTCTCAATAGAATTTCTATTCACACAAATGCAATTCGTCATTTGAACACTGGGTGTCCTCTGTGACTTGCTGGTAGGAATGCTATGAGATGCACCATACAAATTCACTGTGATGTATAAAGGCAGATCAGCAAACTGCAGTGTATATACACTCTTAAAAATACACGTTTTGAAAGGGTATTTTGGAGTGATTTCCCAAACCAACTTTTCTGTTAACAGAAAAAAGCTTATTCTTAGTGTAAGTAAAGAACACTTGAAGAGGCTTTTCTTTTTGCAATGGAAAGTTTATGGATGTTGAAGGTTCTTCATGGAACCATATATGCCAATAAAGAACCTTTAATATTTGTATGCAAACTCAGATTTGAGAGTGCACTAAGACTAAAACAGACCTGACATACCCAAATGTATGTTTGTCCCATCTGGCAGGGAACGTGTTTTTCTGCGAATGAGCACTGATTTCTCAATTTCCTCCTTCAGGATCAATTTGCCCAAGTTGGACTGTATCTGAAAAACAAACAGCTCAGTCATGATTAGCGAGCTCCATTAAGCGCTGGCCTCATGTTGTGTGTGCGTATCCTTCCAGCACTCTCTTCAGTCTAATGGCCTGAAAAGAAAACACTTCATCATCTAGCCTTAGAGAAAATATTCCCAGCCCAGCGTCTGATTTATTGTAGACAATCTCCAGACATATTAATCCTAACAGTATTGATGTCTTGATGTGGGGCACCTTCTGAAGTTCCTGTTCCTGGAGTCTCTTCGCATCTTCTGTCAGGTCCTCAAACTCATCGTCCTCGATCGGTTTTCCCTGTTCGGCTGCCTTCTTCCGCCACTCGATCTCTGTGAGCAATTGACAGGAGATGTAAAAGAGTGTATGCGTGATTACCAATGAATAATATTTCATATAGTGTCATGCTGACGTTTCCTTAATCACTGCAGCCTAATAAAGTGTCCTAACACGACGTGACAGGAAGTTTCCTGCATTTAGTTTTCACACTATTTTCCTAGAGCATTTTAGGGAAAAAACCCCCCAAAACCAAACAAAAAAAACTTGCATGTACCACTTAACAGACAATATCATAAAGTTAATATTCATTTATAATCATATTTTATATTGGAACAATTTAATATAATTCACTTTAACCATAATTTTAAATAATTAATAATATTAATGTAGAAAGACTACATTTTAATTATTATAATTAATAATGTTAATAATTATTAATAATAGTAATGATTTAGTATTAATTAATATTTATATTTAATATTACAATATTGTAATATCATATAATAAAAAGTAATACAATTTAAATCATTTACAATTATTTTAATTGATGCTAATAATTAATAGTTTTCATTCATATTTAATATCACAATAATATCAGAATACTACAATATAATACAAATAGTATTAATTACAATTAAAAAAATAATAATTATAATAATGAAGGCTAAATATGAATTCTCATCATTAATAATGTTGATAATAATAATTAATAGTAGTATTAACATTTATGTTTAATATTGAAATATTCTAAGAATACTAGAATATAATATTGTAATATTGCATAATAAAAAATAAAAAATAAGACTACAATTTAAACACACATATGCTAAAAAGTTAATCATCCCTCAGCTTCAGCTTCTTTAATGCTGCAATAGCAGTAGGACACACTTCAGGTGATTAAAGGTGATTTCAGGAGGTGATATGTGGAGTGAGAGTTTGGACCAATAAAATGTCATTGCGGGAGGGGCTACAGAAATATGAAGCTGCTGAGCATTTACCCATAGAGGCTAGAGAGGGGGGACAGGGCCAGTACTCGGTCTCTATCTTTGAAGGTTGGTTGGGATCAGGCGGCTGGGCTGCTGGGAACTTGGAGGACTCAATGATCACATCATGTTTACTGTGAGACGTTCCCGTCTGTCCGTCTGAGGACAGAGACAAGATAAACATCAGCAGCATAATGTGACCAGCTCATCTTTTAATACACCCCGGAAAACCAAGAATCCTACATGAAAGTGAGGTATAGGTCACTAACTACAAAAAAGTCTATATATTAAATAATAAAAGAACAAATACCGTGTTTGTAAATTGGTGGCTTCTTATAGATGTTGGTGCCACTGTCTGAAAGATAAATGCATGTACAGTTACACACACATCTGAATGATTCTGGAGAATGTCGTTGTGCTATAAAACCGTACCCGGCCTGTGGAAGTGCTGCATGGAGCCTTTGGAGGCGGGGCTGATTTTGCGGAGCTGCACTGTGGAGTCCATGTTGGAAACTCCTGGCGACCCCTGCTCTGACCACTCCTTTGACTCTTTTGAGGCAAATATCTGAAGAAACAGGGGAATTGCATAAACCTTCTATTATTCTGGAATGCTAGTAATGAAGCATTTGCTTATGGTAACATGACTTCATGTTTCAATCCTGATCATACGAGTGGACATAAGTTAAGCACTCAGCATGTTAACAGAAGCCAGAACATCACATTTTACCTTCTGTATCAATAATATGACACTGCAAACTCATGCCTTACTGTAAAATATGCTAACGGTGGTCAGCAGCAGAATGCCATTTGATTCCACTGTTCAGTGTTCTAGTTAAATGTAGTTAATTAGCAATGCACAATATTACAATTCTGGCTGATACAGATATGCTGTAACAGTATGAATTCAGATTCATATTCAATATTAAAAATACTGGAATACTACAATATAATATTTTAATGGATTGTATTAATTATGATTAATTAATTAAAAGTAAAATTAATTAAATCATGCTGAAATTCATGAGAGCAACATGCTGCTATTTTTATGTTATTGCCAATAACCAATTCATGGTCGATATCAAAATTAAATAGCATTTGTTATGTAACTCTAAAAACTAAAATGAAACATACTATGGATAATAAGTGGATATTCATTTTGAGATTTATTAATTATTTGAATAATCTTTATATGACTGCACCGTAATAATATAAAAGACATTATTTTTTAAATATTATTATTAAATATAACACAATAAAATATAATATATAATATAATATTAAATTGAATATTTTAATATTAAATTAAATTATTCTTACCTATAATTAATTAATTAATATTACTGATCTATATTCAGTATTACAACATAATAATTCTACAATATACTATTATAATCAAAAGTATAATGATTAATACAAATTAATAATATTAATCATTCAAGAAAGACTACATTTGACATATTCTGACTAATAGTGCTAATAATTAATAGATTTGTCAGATTTGTATTCAATATAAAAAATACATAATGCAATATAATATTATAATGAATAGTATTATAATTAAAAAATAAATAATTTTAAAATTCATGATATTACAATTCTGGCTAATTATAATTATATGCCCGACAGTAGCCTGTTTTACAATTCAGCATTGTTTTTTTTTTTTTTATTAAATACTAAGAACTAATATAAAAAATAATATGGATAATAAGTGGGTATTCCTTTTGAGATTTACTAAATAATATTTTTTTATGTTTATATGACTGCAACTCAATAATGTGAATTAAAGACATTAAAATAAAATCATTAAATTGTAATAATATTAATTCATATTCAATATTACAATAATATCTGAATACAATAGTATTATAATTAATAATAATAATAATAATAATAAGCACAAATGAATAATATTAGGACTATAATTTAACTCTAATGATTAATAAATGTTAATGATTAATAGTATTAATTCATACTGACTACTTAAAAAAATAGAATACTACAATATAATGTTACAATTAATAGTAATAATTATAAATAATAAAAATTAAATCATATTAAAGGGGTCCTATTATGCTTTTTCACTTTTTTAATTTTAGTCAGTGTGTAGTGTGTATGTTTGGGCATAAAAAAGATCTAGAAAGTCACAAATCTCAAAGTCCACTCCAAAGGGAGATATTTCGTTTAAAAAAAAATCCCTTTTCAAGAACTACAACGAACGGCTCGTTTGGACTACAGCGTTTGTTTTCCAGGCTTTGTGATATCACAAAGCGGCCCATTAGAATATCATTAAACATAATTCCTGCCTACAGAAATTTGAATGGTTGGGGTGTGGGGAGGGGCGAGGTTGTGGTTAGAATGCTTGGTTGAGTGAGTGCATCAGACGAGAAATCAAGACTTTGTAAAAGAGTATAATAGGATCCCTTTAAAATACTTTATGATAACAATATGCTGCTAATTATTTATGGCAGATGACTGAAAAATAGACAATATAAATTTCAAGTATTAACATTATTATTAACATTAATTAAACATAACTAAAGACTCTGCGTCATATTTGCTTTGGCAAACATAGTTCAAATACAAAACTAAAACTGAAAGTCATTTACAGTGGCTGCATCCTTCATTAACTGAGTGGCTCAGTAAAACAATCACATTGGAAGTGTGCAGGAAGATAAATGCGGTAGTTAAAGCTAGTGATCGGTGACTAGTGTCAGACCTGATCAACAGAGGCTTGATGGCTCACCTCAGGGGAAGGAGGGGGCGAGACAGAATGAGGTGACATTGATCTCTGGAGGAGACAAGGAGAGAAAGCAGAACACACACACATATATGCATCATCTTCAATGCCTGACATTCAATGGCTCTGTGTCACTTTTACACACAAATGATTTCCCACGCATAACAAAGCTTGACTAATAACATTAAAGTTACATCTCACCATTATATTCAGCTTCCTGCTCACCAAAACACATATACTGATTCCACTTTAAGATGTAAAACGTACAATAAAGCTTCTCAAATGCTTCCCGATGGTACAATGAAACAAAGACTCGATCTAAAGAGACACTCGTTCTTTTCTGACCTCTCTGCTTCTGGAAAGACCTATACGATCCAGGGCTGAGATATTGAAATGCGGCTCGTACACCATCAGATCTGGCCGTTCCACCTCAAGAATGGCTTTGTCTTTGGGAATAGCAGCCAAGTCTTTATATCCAATGACCTGATTGTCCATTCGTGCCTTTGGGGAGTTAGAAAGAGGCTGAGTTTAGTCTGGTGTGAAAGAAACGCTTGTCCTCTGAAATGCCTCATAAGGTTCCTATGAACTGGGATATCGAGCATGTGCTTTATGGCAGATAACAGAATGCATGTGTTATCTGTGAAACTGAAAGTGTTCAAGCTAAGGTTTTACTTACCACAATAGAGGTGGCTGGGGACCCAGGAGCACTTGGACCCCGGGAGGACGGGGCCGTCCCTGCCTGTGGCGGGAGAGCAGAGCAAAAAGGTCAGAGGTCATCATTTAACTGCTCCTATCCAGTGACATGTTGTTAATGAGAAATAAGATTTATAAGTAATGCCATCAATCAAACTGATGATGTGTGTCACTCAGCCATGCCCCCTTTCCATTCTCACTAAGTGAAAAAACCCACTGCAGATCTGATCAAATTTTAATTTGATTTTACTTTGACTGAAAGACAACATAGAGATTAGTATCCACATATGAGAAAAAGCTATAGAAAAACGTTTAGGAAATTCCAGTATTAGGAGATCAATGTTTTTTTGCAAAAAATGGGCTTTAAGATTAAATGAAAAAAAAAAAAAAAT